TTAGTTATTATTTATTCATATTGTAATTGATGTTGAACAGAGATCCTTAACGTCCATGTAATCAAATCCATCAGTGTTCCATCTTTTGGTCAACACTACAGGGGGTCACATTTAACTAATCTTTTCTGCTCTAAGATCTCAAAAATGTTTTCGTATTTTATTTAACTGCAGTTTTGCCTTTCACTTTTAAGCTCCTACTCCATCTGGTGCCTTTTTCTACTATGAGTAGGGGCTCAGCACTGCTTTTCTCTGTATGTTAAGCCCAATTTCCCAACATTACTTATTAAATAAAATGTTTCCCTCACGCTTGGAGGTGCCACCCTTATCTTAAAGCAAGTTCCCATAAATACGCAGGTTGGTTTTGCCCTCTCTCTGACAGTCCATTAGCCTATTTGGTGAGATGCCAACAGCTGGCTGTCTTTCGTCCATGATTTTATAGCACTTCCTAACGTCTGTTAGGGAGGTGTCTCCATCTTACCCTTCCTTTTCAAAGATAAAATGTATGTTTGTGGACCTTACCCTTCCGGGTGTATTTTAGAGTATCATTTTTATACCACTGGAATTTTGAGTTTGTGGACTAGCCTGTTATCTCACTGTCTCACCCCTTAAAGGCTTATTACTCAGGTCTACTTATAAGAAAAGTTTTTTAAACTTCTCAACAAAGATTTTTGCACAACATATGTTAGGTTAATTCTGGGTTCCTTAGAGTTTGGTTTGCTCTTGTGAATGTTAATATATTTTCTTCTGAATTTCCTAAGTAGTAATAACTTAAAGAGTTTCACTTGATACTTATTATCTGGTAACATTGATAAATCTGCTCATTATTTCTAATCATTAATCCATTTAATGTATTAAGTTTTCTATGTAGATGATCGTATAATCTACAAATAATAAGTGTTTTATTGTCTTCCTTTCATTCATATGCCACTTATTTTTCTTTTCTTATTGCATTGGCCAGGATGCTCAGAACTGTGTCAAATAGTAGGAATGATAGCAAGGCTCTTTGTCTTCTTACTAATCCAGAGAAAACAAGTTCAAAATGTCTTCATTAAGAGCATTTCCTTAGCCAGGCGTGGTTGTGTTTGCCTGTAGTTCCAGCTACTTGGAAGGCTGAGGTGGAAGGATCACCTGAGCCCAGCAAGTCGTGGCTGCAGTAGCTGTGAGTATGCCACAGCACTTCAGCCTGGGCACAGAGTGAAACTCCAACTCAAAAAGAAAAAAGAGCATTTCCTGTAAAATTTTGGTAAAGATGCTTTATCAAGTTACAAAAGTTCTAAAAATGGTTGTTAAATGTTTCTCCTGCATATATTGAGATCGTTGTGTGGTATTTCTCTTTCAGTAAATTAATTAGATGAATCACATGGATAGGTTTTCTAATAGTAAACCATCTTTGCATTTCTGTGATGAACCAAGACCATGATATGTCATTGCTTTTCCAGGATGTGTTAGATTCGGTAGCCGTATTAGTTTCCTAGGGCTGCCATGAAAACAGAAATGAATCCTCACAGTTCTGGGGGATAGGACTCCAAGGCCAGAGAGTCTGCAGCTGTGGTTTCTTCTCCTTGATTTGCAGATGGACTTTTCTCCGTGGCCCACACATTCCTGCTGTCTCTTTCGTGAATCCAAATTTCCTCTTCTCATAAAGACTCCAGCCAGACTGGATTAGGGCCAACCTGTATGACCTCATTTAACCTTAATCACCTCTTTAAGGCCTTGTCTCCAAATACAGTCCCATTCTGAGACACTGGGAGAGTTAGAACTTTGACATATAAATTTGGAAATATGTAATTTAATCCAGAAGAATTGCTAGTATTTTGAACTTTCACATTTGTGTTCACAAGCAAATCTGGTCTATACTTTTGTTTTTTCATAAATGAACTGGGAAGATTTGGAAATATTTTTATTTTATTCTATTATCTGGAACTACTTGTGCAAATTCGAGATTGTATGCTTCTTGAAATATTGGTAGAATTTCCCAGTAAGGCCTCCATGACTACGGAGATTTTTTGATGTATGGGATAAAGAGGGATGTTTTATTAGCATGTCTATTCCTTTACTATTTGCTGATCTATACACAATTTCTATTTCCTATTGTCCTAATTGTGACATTTTACTTTTTTTCCGTTTTTAATACAGGTTTCAAATGTGTATTTTATAGTATCTATTAGCAGCATGACTTTCTTCCACACTTACACCTTTTCAAATGGAGTTTATCTATGTCCATGGGTTGAGACAGGGATCCAATTTTGTTTCTCTGTATTTAATCAGCATCAGTTTCATCGTCATCATTAATCATTCCTTTCCCAAAGGTTAATAGATCCCTTTATCCTGATAAAATTTCCACAGATACATGGAAAAGTATTTTTATTTTATCTTTGTCTCCCACTGTCTTTTTTCCAATTCAAATGTTTACACTAATACTTTTTTTTTGAGTTGGAGTCTCACTCCATTGCCCAGGCTGGAGTGCAGTGGCACACTCATGGCTACCCCAGCATCGATCTGCTGAACTCTGGTGATCTTTCCGCCTCAGCGTTCCAAGCAGCTGGAACTACAGGCATGTGCTACCATGCCTGGCTAATTTTTTATTTACTGTAGAAATGAGGTCTCGCCAAGTTGCCCGGAGTGGTCTCAAACCCGCGGGCTCAGGCAATCCACTCGCCTCAGCCTCCCTAAAGTGCTGGAATTATAGGCTAAGGCTGGCCACTTTTTTAACCATATATATTTAATATTCACGACAACCCTGAGGGGTACTATCTGTTTCTTAAATGAGTAGATAGAGACTCAGTAAGATTATTTTTAGCCTAACACTCCCAGAATACTGAATGGTGTACCAGGAGTCTGACTCGAAATTAACTGCTCTTTCCCTCAAAGAAAAGCCTCCGTCATGTTCTTAAGAGGGGAATCTGTCCTCCCTTCCCTTGTCTGATTGGCTGGAGGGGACATCTCAGGCTGTGGGAACGCGGGGGACACCCAACGGACGACAGTGAAAAACTCAGAGCCTGCACCCGCGTAGCCTACAGGACAGACCCTCAGGATTTCAGCGACAGAGCAACCAGCTTCTCTTGGGATCAGGTGACCGACTTCTAGGTCCCGTGCAAGCAAACCTCGATCCCCACTGATGTTCCCCACGTCCAGCCACCCCCCCTGCTCCTCCTAACACCGACCTTCAGGCCTTCCTGCTACAACTGAAACCATTTTCTTCTTCTTTAGTGAAAGGAGTTACTGTCCACTTCTGTCCAGAGTATGTATTTTATAAGAAAGCACCTTTTTGGCAAATCCTAGGCGTGGGCAGCTATAATTCTTTCAAATTTCAAGAAATGAGTCACCAGGGCAATAAGAATTTTAGTTTTTTATTATTTCACTATTTAAAAATTTTAATCTTGAAGTTGGTTAATCTTAAAGCAAGAACTAACCATATATTTGTTTTTATACATTATATACACTTGAAAAATAAATAGTATTCTAAGTAGCATTTTTTTAAAAGCATCTTTATATACAGCTAAGGCTTCAAGCCAAATGTATAAATACACAACTCACTAAAAACTCAGCTCCCAGCGCTCTCAAGAGTGGAAACATATTGGAAGGAACAGGTCCTCAGCCAAGAACACAGGTTGGGCAGCCCTCATTCAAAAGTCCAAAGTCTTGGCCAGGCGCAGTGGCTCACTCCTGAAATTCCAGCACTTTGGGAGGCACAGGCAAGAGGATTACCTGAGCCCAGAGGCTTGAGACCAGCCTGGGCAACTTGGCGAGACCTTGTCTCTACAAAAAATTTAAAAATTTAGCTAGGCATGGTGGCACATACTTGTAGTTCCAGCTACTTGGAAGGCTGAGGTGGAAGGATCGCCTGAGCCCAGCAGGTCAAGGCTGTGGTGGCTGTGAGTGTGCCACTGCCCTCCAGCCTGGGATACAGAGCTGAGGCACCGTGCCTCAATTTTGCATATGGAGCAGAGTTTGGTTAAATACCTCTGCGCAGAATTCTCCCCTTGTGTCGTGAGAGTTTTGGATTTTGGAGCATTTCAGACTTTGGACTTTCTTCTTTTTTTTGACAAAGCTGAGGCACCGTGAGTGAGGCTCAGTCATTTGCCCGAGATCCCATGCAAGTTGGTACAGCCAGGCAAGGGCTGGTTCCCAGGGCAGAGGCCACGGCTCAGGCAGCCGTGGCATTTCTCGCCCCTGTGCCCAGGCGTGAGACACCATAAACGCAGCCCTTTTCTCAGTGGATGACCACCTGTGCCAACTCAAAAAAAAAAAAAAGAAAGAAAAAAGTCCGAAGCCTGAAATGCTCCAAAATCCAAAACTCTCACAACACAAGGGGAGAATTCTGCACAGAGGTATTTAACCAAACTCTGCTCCATATGCAAAATTGTATAAAATACTGTACACAATTACTGTGTGCACAAGGGGTAGAGGGTACATACATGAATTTTGTGTTTAGACTTGAGTTTCATGCCCAAAACATCGGACTACATATGTGCAAATATTCCAAAATACAAAAAAATCCGAAATGCAAAACACGTCTGGCCCCAAAATCCTGAAGGGTTACTGTTGCTTGAGTGACACTCAGCCGATGCGAGCCTGGCTGTGGCTAGGAGGCATCACAGGGAACGGGAGCTCGACAGTGAGGCTGAAGACTCGGATGGGAGTGTCTTTCACGTTCAGCCTTAGCAGCACACTTTTGACACAGCACGGATTGAAACAGCATCCTTTAAACTCTCAAGCACAAAAAAGCCACTTCCCTCACCTGCCTCCACGACCCACCCCATCTCACCCAGAGCCTAGCCATTGGCACAGGTGGTCATCCACTGAGAAAAGCGCTGTATTTATGGTGTCTCACGCCTGGGCACAGGGGCGAGAAATGCCACGGCTGCCTGCGCCGTGGCCTCTGCCCTGGGAACCAGCCTTTGCCTGGCTGCACCAACTTGCGTGGGATCTCGGGCAAATGACTGAGCCTCACGGTGCCTCAGCTTTGTCAAATAGGGATGTGCTGGGCTCCTGGTCACCTGGCTCGCAGCCGGCGCCGCACACACACGTCTCTCGGAGAGCCAGGGCTCCCCAGACGGCCGGCTACCGATTCCAGTCAAGATCTGGGGCAGTGGTTTTTCCGGGAAGTTCCGCACAGAAAGGCACTGGTGTCAAGGGAGGACATTCCAGGAGAAGAAGGCACAGTGCTGCGTCTCAGAGCTGACTCTCTCAGGTAGTGCTAGACTCTGAGTCCACAGGTGTGTGCTGCACAGGTAACACACTCTGTCTCCTGAATGGAAGACAGTTGCCTCCGAAGTGGTCCCATCTGGCAACAGGCCACCCCTGTGGCCCCAGCACACATGACACGGCTTGCCATTCTGCTAGGGATCAAACCTGTCACTCCTGGGGGAGGATGCATGTGTGCTGAGAAGAAACGAGAGGCCACGGAAAGCCTCAGGGTCCCTGACGCCCACAGGCTGCAGCCCCACGGCCTCGTGCCTTCCCTACCCAGGCTGTTCCACATGGGAAGGCATCCTGGCAGGCCAGGCCATGGGGTCCGCATGGAGGAGCTGAGCCATGTGCCCACTGCCTCATGCTTGGTGCACACTTGTCAATCGGAAGCAGACAATGGAGAAGAAGCAAGAGGGATGTGTGCTTCAGAAAGGGAATGTGGGCGGGACGGAAGCCCAAGTTGTGGCTGGCACGGCCAGCCTCTGAGAGCCCCAGTGGCCTCAGTCACAGCCTGAGTCTGTCACCCCCACCCCGGAAGGGCCTCCCACGGCCCAGGTCAGGCCAAGCTACAGACCACCGCCAGAGGTATGTCCGAGCCAGCACCCCTCCTCAAGCCAAGCACAGCTCCCCTAGCCACTGAGAAGCCAGTGTGTGTGCCCAGGAGGCCTGGCACATGCCATGCGGCAGCCTCGGTGCTCGGGGCATCCATGGAGGCTCAGAGTCAGGGCTATGCTAGATAGGTGGAAGAGCTGCAGTGGGTGTCCCCAGGCCAGGAGACCCGGCCAACACGGGAGAGAGGGCCGCTGCCAGGAGGTCTCCTTCTGCCGCAGGTGCTTGCAGCAGCCACATTCCTCCACAGGCCCGGGGAGCAGGGTTCCTTGCTGGCAAGACGTCCTGGCACCCTCAGGGAAGCTCCATGGCAGGACTGCAAGGAACCAGGAGAGCAGCTGGTTAACACACACAACATGCACATGCACACAACATGCACATACGCAAGTGTGGGAGAACTCCCAAAGTGTTCCCATGGCCTCAACCTGGAAGCACAAGCAAGACTGGATGATGACAGGAAGGGGGCAAGACGGAGCCAGGAGACCTGGGCGCAGGTCTCAGCTACTTGAGCACTCCACTGAGCCTCTCTGAACCTCGGTCTCTTTATCAGGGAACATGAGAGCAGCACCCTCTCACTCCTGGGGGGTGAGGGGGGTAGAATGCTGAAAAGTGTTACGCACGTCCAGGGACACCAGGACCTCCTAGTGTTAATTCATTACTTGGGCTCCTGTGAGGGGAAGGGAAGGAGTGACTTGTTTTCTGGAAGTCATGAGAGGCGAGTCCTACAGTTCTCAGCTGTTATGAGGTTCCAGGGCAGGAGAGAAGAGTAAAACATCTGATCCTGCATTGTCAGAAGAGCCACCCCCCTGAGTGAGTCCACCTGCAGGGCTGCTGGGAGGACCCACAGGTTAAACACTTTTGAAGGTATGGATTTGGGTTCAGTTATGAAGATCTAAGAGGGACAGACTGCAGGCGTGCCAGGCACCCACTCCGGCCACATCAATTAGACGGCAGGGTCAGACCCCAGAGTCCTGTGACCAGTGCCCCTGTGGCCGAGTTGACGCTCCCAGCCAGAGACAGAGCCGCCGGTTTGCAGCCCCACCTTGGGCTGGCAGATGTGTCCTCACGGGAGACCCCGAGCTCGGGCACAGCTGTTCGGTAATTGGCACCCAGCTGAGTGAGGTAGCCCCAATGGCCTCAGTCCCTCCCTCTGCCGTCGCCTGGGCAGCAGGGGAGAAACTTGGCCTCCTGGGCCTTGGTGGTGGGAACAAGGAGGAGAGGATGACTGCAGCCGCGAGAGGCCGGGTCACTACCCGGTGACACAGGGGTGGTGACACCTGCCCGTGGGTTCACCCTTACAGGATCCTGGGCTCACTGGATGCAGGGGCCATGCCACGCACTCAGTGGGGCTGCAGTGTTACCATATAGTGGTCTGGGCAGGGTGAGGGCAGGGCGAGGTAGAGAGGGCCCCACTCATCAGTGGGTGTCTGGACTCAGGGCCGCGGGGGTCCCCTGGCAAGCCATGAGAGGGCCTTCCTCACGCCTGAAATGATGGGGCAGGTGGGGCCGTGGGACACAGGTGCATGGCACCGCTGTGTCTCACTCCGCTCCCTGCTCTCGGAGTGGGAGCGCTAGGCCCTGCAGGCGGGACTGGACTGTGCTCTCCCTTCCCTCCCGCCCCACCCAACCAGCCTGGAGCCCAGAAGGAAGCTGGAGTCTGGAACCTTACAAAGCCCTGCTCACCGGAGAAGATGCCAAACCAAGATGGCTGGGCAAGGGACCCACCAGGGCTTCATTACCAGAAGACTCATGCCCCTAGGGCCATGCACACCCACAGTCCAAGGCAGGACAAGGACAGGAGGACACTGACTCCTCCCACGTCCTACGGCGGTGTCTCCGCACTCACCTGTCTCCCCCACAGAGGGTTTTTTCTCTGACCCACTCAGGTGCGTCCCCAGCGCCAGCGCCCAGCACCCAGCACCCGCCCGCCCATCAGCAGGGCAATGAGAAAGTCCCGCTAACCTGGTTTTGTTCTTCATCCTCCAGTCATCCCGACATTTATGAAACCAGAGCTCTTGGCCAGGGGCTATGATGGTGTTCTCGGGGTCAGCTGCGCAAAACGTCAGTCTAGGAGGGAAGAGAATCCACGGTGAGGCCAGGCTGTCGGGGAAGCCTGGTGCTGCCTGGTGGAGTGGGGCAGGGCGAGGAGTCTTCACTGCCCTGACCCCAGGGCCTCAGGTACCCATCGCTACTACAAGGGCTTGGCACGGAGTCCTGCGTTGAGGTCAGCGACCCGGCCTTTCGCGGCTGCAGTCACCCTCTCCTCCTTGTTCCCTCTGTCCAAAGCCTGCCTGCCTCTCAAGGCCTCTCAGAAGCCACCCCAGCGGTCTGAGCCCTGTTGACCTACCCTTCCCTGGACCTCGCAGCTTCAGGAGAAGTCTGTCCTTATATAAATGTCACTTTTGTGAGTGCAGCCGCTTCTTATGGCATGGAGGTGAAAATGACTGTTTTGTTTTATTTTAAAATATAATGGTCAGGCGCAGTGGCTCATGCCTATAACTCCAGCACTTTCGGAGGCTGAGATAAGAGGATCGTTTGAGGCCAGGAGTTCAAGACCAGCATGGGCAACATAGTGAGATCTCATTTCTACCAAAAAATCAAAAAAATAGCTGGATATGGTGGCATGCGCCTGTAGTCCTAGCTGCTCGGAAGGCTGAGGCAGAAGGATCACCTGAGCCCAGGAAGTTGAGGCTGCAGTGAGCCATGATCATGCCAGAGTGAGCCTGGGGACAGTGAGACCCTCAAATGCAACAACAAAACCCTAAGCCCTGCCTGAGCCGCTGTGGATGCCCGTATCTAGGGTTGTCTCTCCACAAGACTGGGCTTCGTGAGCCTCTACCTGGTGCTCTGTGAATATCCATTGACAAGAGGTATGGATTAAAGGTATGGATCTGAGATCAGTTATGAAGATCTCAGAGGGACAGACTGCAGGCATCACAGGCACCCACTCCGGCCACGTCCCTCAATTAGAGGGCAGTCTAATTGGGACGACTCATAGCCAGACTCAGACAGTGGACAGCCAATGTCACTAGGAGGAATCAGGCTCCAGTCACCACGTTCTTATGACATGGCTGCCTGTGCAGCCTGGCAGCGTGTGATCAGTATGATCATGTGACCTGCAAGCACACAGGATGCCTGAGGACATGACCCATAAGTATGTGGGACACCCAACCACGTGACCTGTAAGCATGTGGGGCATCAGACCACATGACCGTTAAGTGTGTGGGATACTGGACCATGTGAGCTGTAAGGGTGTGGGACGCCTGACCACGTGACCTGCATGGGAGGTACCTGACCACGTGACCTGTAAGTGTGTGGGGTACCTGACCATGTGACCTGTGAGTGTGTAGGACACCTGACCACATGGCCTGTAAGCATGTGGGATGCCCGATCACATGACCTGGAAGCATATGGGGTGCCCAAGCATGTGACTTGTAAGTGTGTGGGGCACCTGACTACATGGTCTGTAAGCATGTGGGGTACCCAGCCACGTGACCTATAAGCATGTGGGACGCCCAACAATGTGACCTGTAACCATGTGGGATCCCCAACCATGGGACCTAGAAGCGTGTGAGGTGCCTGACCATGTGACCTGTAGCACATGTGGGGCGCCCGACTACATGACCTGCAAGCATGTGGGACACCCAACAATGTGACCTATAAGCATGTGGGATGCCTGGCCATATGACCTTGTAAGAATAGGAGACACCTGACCATGTGACCTGGAAGCATGTGGGATGCCCGACCATGTGACCTGGAAGCATGTGGGGTGCCTGACCACGTGACCCGTAGCACATGTGGGGCGCACGACTACATGACCTGCAAGCATGCATGGCACCCAACCATGTGACCTGTAAGCGTGAGGGGCACCCGACTACGTGACCTGGAAGCATGTGGAGCACCCAACCCACACCCTGATGCTGAGGCAGGACCAGAGCCCACTCAGAACAGTTAAGCCCTTTCCCAGGGAGCCCCAGAGCCCTGCAGACCCGCATGTTTGTAAACATAGAAAGGCCACTGCCTCACTCACCATCAGGATGTGCAAACCAAACCACAGGAGAGACCCGGCCACACCTGGCAGGTACCCAGAGCACCACCTAACACAGGCAAGGAGGGGATGCCCACCTCGGCTAGGACGGGGAGCAGGCCCACCCCCCTGACGATGGCCAGGCTGGAGAAGGCAGGCACCACAACCAGCAGGCCCATACCAGAGGCCTCACACATGTGGGCCCGGAGGCTAGACACCCGTCTCGCACCACTCTCCGCCATGTCAGCATTCGCAGAACAGCTTGCTCCCCGCACGGCGATCTACACGCAGGCATAGACGTGAACAGAGGGTCTGTGTGTGTTGGACACATTCCACAGACAGTGTGTAGATGAAGAAAGCAACTTGTGTGGCCTCATGTCCACTCACGTAAGGCTTGGAGGTTTCTGGAACAACCCTGTGTGTTACGTCTGGACAGAGTGGCACTCGTGCGTGGTATACACGGCTCGTGGCAGGAGGCCAGGCTCTCACCTGCGCTGCGTCTCCCCGGACTTCACACGGATGCGCCGAATGCTCAGCTCTCGTCCGGCACCACGTGGCTGCGACAAGTAGCTGCGGAATTCCTTCCACAGGCCGTACCACGACTGTGCCGTGGCCTCCCAGCTGAGTCGGATCCTCAGGAGGTCGCCCAAGTCCTCCTCGGTGTAGACCAGGAAGGTGTTGGTGGCATTCAGCCCGATCTGCTCCACCCTGCGAGGGACAAGCCCGTCTCATCTGGCCAGACACAGCACCCATCTCCCCACTAGGAGAGGGCAGCTGTGGGCGGGTGGGCCCTCCCACCTCCAGCCTCCATGTCCCTCGACAGGACCGAAGTGGCTCAGCTACACTCCAGGTGGGCAGAGGCAGCTCTGTCCAGCACCCAGCTCCCCACAGAATGCCAGGCATCCCTGTCCACGCCGCACCCCAAGGATGGACCATGAGAGGGCAGGAAGGAGGAATCGCAGACGTCACGTCTGCCATGGGGTGTTGCTCTTCTTGGCCAAGGCATGGGACCCAGGAAGTCCTGGCCGCCGCCCGCCCATGGCTTGCACGGCTTGCTGCGATCTGCCCATCTGTGAGTGTGTGTGCATGTATGAGTGCACACAATATGTGTGTGAGTGTGTGCATACATGAGTGTGTGGTCTGGATGTGGAATATGTGAGTATAGGCATGTGTATGTGTTCACGTGGTATATGTGTGAGTGTGTACATGTGTGCATGGTGTATCTGTGGCTGCGAGTGTATGTTTGTGGGTGCATGGTGTATGTGTGTGTACATGTGTGTGCACATGGTGTGTATGTCGTGAGTGTGTGTGCAGTATGTGTGCACTGTGTGTGTGAATGTATGTTTGAGAGTGTGTGTGGTATGTGTGTGCTGTTTGAGTGTGTGTGCTGTGAGTTTGTGTGTGCATGTGTGTGCATGTATGATTGGTATGGAAGTGGAGTACATGCATGTGTGTGTGTGCACGGTATGATGTGAGTATGTTTATGTGTGCATGGCATGTGTGTGCTGTGCTGTGAGTGTGTGCATGTGTGTGCACGTGATGTGTGTGCTGTGAGTGTATGTTTGAGTGTGTGGTGTGTGCTTTGAGTGTGCGTGTATGTGCACACCTGGTCCCAGCCAGACCCACACCCTGAGGCATGCGCCACTCTGCAGCATCTCTTCGCTGTCCCAGCATCCCTTGGGGCGATGCCCTGACCTGGCGGGGATTCAGCCTCCTGCAGCTGCTGCATGCCCACAGCCAGCAGTCAGGACGGGCTGGACGGGGGTGGGAGGTCCAGGCTGCCCAGAGCCTCGGGGTCGGGTGGGAGTGATGCGGCCGTTTCTGCCCAGCTGTCCCTCCTACTGTGTGTCACCCGGGAGTCTCCCTCCCAGAGGTGCTGAGCAGGGCAGGAGGGAACACGGGAGGGAAAGAGAGACTGCCAACCACAGGGCGCCCAGCCCATCTGCTCCCCGCTGTGGACACGCCCTTGCATCCCTTCCAGCCCCTGCAGCCTAGACCCAGCCAGGACCTTCAACTCACATCTCCAAAGGCAGGGCCTGGGAGTCTGCGTTGGTGCCGTGCAGGGTGACGTGAAAGGCCGGTTCCATGTCCCCAGCAATCTGGTAGCTGAAGATGTGGATTTTCATCTGGTAGTGGTACACTGCGGGGACAGCAGGATCCTGGGTGTGCCTTGCAGCCACCGCGGGTCACCAACCCCCATGAGCCCCGGCATGCTGAACCCAGGGGCTGCGTCCTTCAGGGACCCAGCCCCCAGCCCCCTCGATCCTGTCCCGTCCAGTGGTACTAGAGGCCGCTGAGCTCCAGAAGAGCCTGGCGACCTCACAGGGACTTCGGCCTCGCTGCGCTCTAGCGGCGTGACCTGATGAAGGACTGAGCGGCCGTGCTCGGTGCCCCAACCTCTCCCAGGGGAAGTGCCTCCTGTGCACGAGCCTGGAAGCTTTGTAAAGCTAGGAAGGGGCCCTGTGTGACCAGCTTAGGCGGGCTGTGACGGCCAAACGAGACAGTGAGAGGCAGCTTTGGCGGCAAGAGTGAACAGAGATATCACAACCCCTCAAGGCCGACCACGGCTTACGAGGGGCCCGGCCTCTCTCCTGAAGACTCACTGTCTGGACACTGTGCGGTCCCACCGGCAGTGCCCGGATTTGGCTGTGGGCGGGCGCCCCGTCGTGGGCCTGAGCCGGCCAGCCCGGGACAGGGCCCAGCTACCTCGGAAGGGCATGCCCGCACGTGTCTTCAGGTACATCTTGCTGTTCCGCCGGCTGCGCGTCCGCCGGGCATTGTAGCCAATGCTGCTGCAGCGGTTCTTGCGGCAACTGAGGCAGACGCCCTTCTTGAAGCGCGTGGGGTCGCTGCACTGGAAGGCGAAGCTCGGCTGGTCCTGGTTCACCAGCGAGTCCACGAAGAGGTGCACGGCCCGCTCGTGTTCACACTTCACCACCTCCGTAATGGCTGCAGGAGACGGGTGGGGTACGCCCGGCTACGGTCAGCACCAGCCTCGCGGGCCCTCCCCACGGCCAGACGGCCCAGCAGCACCCACCCTCGTGAGCCCTTCTGATGGTCACTAGCCAATCAGTACCAACCCTCCCCAAGATCAGACAGTCGGTCAGCACCCACCCTTGTGAGCCCTTTCTGACAGTCACTCAGGCGGTCAGCACTGACCCTTATGAGTCCTTCCTGTGGTCAGACACTCACTTGGTCAGCACCGGCCTCGTGGGCCCTCCCCACGGTCAGACAGCCAGTCAGCACCCACCCTTGCAAGCCTTTCTGATGGTCACTCAGCTGGTCAGCACCGGCCTCACAAGCCCTCCCCATGATCAGACCGTCGGTCAGCACCCACCCTCGTGAGCCTTTCTGACGGTCACTCAGTCTGTCAGCACTGACCCTTCTGAGTCCTTCCTGTGGTCAGACACTCGATCAGTCAACACTGGCCTTCACCAGCCCTTCTCGCTTACCAGGCTACTCAGTTGGAATGAATCAAATGTCAAACACCATCTAATCCAGGGCTCAGTAAAATGTGGCTTGCAACTATTTTTCTTTGTTTTTCAGAGACAGGATCTTACTAAGTTGCCCAGGCTAACCCCAGACTCCGAGGCTCAAGTGAGCCTCCTGTCTCGGCTTCCCAAGTCACTGGGACTACAGGCACGAGCCACCATACCCAACTCCACAATGTGTCTTCTGAATAAAGCCTATTCTCAGCAGACTTGGGTCCGGACCACATAGCAAAAATAAATAAGAAAGAAGAAAAATTTTAAGTAAATGGTGAAAGCGTCTTGGTTTTGCTTCTTTAAAATGTTACCAAAAATTTAAATATAGTATATCCATGCTACAGAATACTATACAGCCTGTAGAAAGGATAAGGCTAGCAAATCTATGTGCTCTGATGTTTGAGTATGTCCATAACAGCCGGGTGTGGTGGCTCACACCTGTGGTCCCAGCTACTTGGGAGGCTGAGGCAGAACGGGGCCGCAGGACAGCTGTCAGCTTGTAGGGCTACAGGGAACACTAAATGGGGAGGGGGAAACATCATGACATGGACGGCCTGGGGGCATGGCCAGCCCTGGCTGCCTCCAGAGATGGGATAAACCGAGTCAAACGTGAAACAGAAAATGCAGGACTCACTCCCGTATGCGATGGACCCCAGGACATCATTGAGCCCGCAGCCCGGCTGGAAGTCGCCCCCGTTGGGGTAGACGTCGAGGTGGCCCACGGGCATCTGGATCCCAATGCTCAGGCCAAAGGAGCGCGTGTAGGTGTGCAGGACGTCCACAAAGTCCGCGTCGTCCGGGGACAGCCTCCGGTGGATGTCCGCCCCCTCGAACATGGGCCCGGCGGGGTCCAGACCTGCAGTGGAAGCCAAGATGGATGTGACAGGGCGCCTGGTGGGTCCAATTCAAAGCCATGCCCTGGTGTGCAGAACAAAGCCACCTCCTCCCTCCGGGGGGAGGGTGGCAGGGGGAGCAGGGAGACCAGGAGCAGGGAAGATAACACCAGCTGTCTCCACACAGCTGACCCCAAGACATCGCTGTGGACACCACACCCTTCCTTGAGGACCCCAAAGCCTTTGAGTGTCTTAGCGCCTCAGCCCACCCTGTGAATCAGCCCCAAAGTTCCAGTGGCCATGCGCTCCAAGGAGTCAGAGCCTGTTAGGACCGGCTCTGTTCTGGAAAGAACTCAGGCTGCCCAAAGTCATCCTGCTGCCATTGAGAGCCCTCCACAGCCTCGAGTTCAGCAGATATTGTGCAGAAAAGCCTCGCTGCCGAGGCCCATCCAGGAGAATTCAGTCTCCCCAGACCCAGCCCCTTCTGTGCTTCCGAGTCGGGCCTTGGATGGAACGGGTGGTGGAGCAGGAACATCTGTTGCATGAGAAGCCACACACCACCTCCAGAACATCTCAGTTTTACCCACTTGAGAAAACCGTCTTGCCTCCAGCTCTATTCTGAGCAGACAAGCAGCCCTGCAGAGAGCACCGGTGCTCGCAGTGAGACAGCCCAGACAGCACCAGGGAGCTTGCTAAGGCTCAGATCCGTCGTGTAGCCATAAAACACACTGAGAGACACACGCTGAGGAAGGGACTGAACCACAGCCACAGTAGAAGAGAGACTTCACACCGTCTTTTGATCTGGAACTACATGGACGCAGAACGACCCAGAAAAAGAGCTGGCAAAGTGGAGAACGCAGACTCTCCAGGCCCTGGCCTCCTGGAGAGTCTGGTTGAAGGGTCTGGCAAGGAGCCCAGAAAGAGATGTCGGTTCCCAGCAGACCCTATAAGATTTGATCTGTGGACCAAGGGTTAACAAAAGTCCCTGTGAACAATTAGACCGGGCTCGGTGTCTCAGCCTGTCATCCCAGCACTTTGGGAGGCCGAGGCGAGTGGACTGCCTGAACCCGTGGGTTCAAGACTGGCCCGGGCAACTTGGCGAGACCTCGTCTCTACAATAAATCAAAAATTAGCCAGGCATGGTAGCATGCGCCTGTAGTTCCGGCTAATTGGAAGGCTGAGGTGGAAGGGTCGCCGGAGCCCAGCAGGTCGAGGTTGCAGTGGCCAGGAGCATGCCACTGGGCGATGGAGAGAGACTCTAACTCAAAAAAAAAAGTCCCTGTGCTTTGGTGTTGTGTATAAATGGAATCTGAACACCTTGATTCACACAGGTCACCCAAGGATCACTGTAGATCGTGTACTGGTCGACATCAGCCATATTACCAAGCCCAGGGGGTTGTAGGAACCAGATTCATCTCCCCGGGGGGCACTCAGCCCACAGCCACACAGGAAGGGCCCGGAGAAAGCACAGGAGCCAAAGTTTCCTGGAGAAGCATCCCCTCGAACAGCAGCTCCCATGAGGAGTGGTTCTGCCCCCGGGGGACATCTCTCAATGTCTGGGGGCCTTTTTGTTTGCCCCAGTTGTGAGGGGCAGAGCTACCAGCATCTCGTGGGGACAGATCAGGGGTGGAGAGAAATATCCTACTACCACCAGACATCTCACACGCGCACTGCCTGTCCCCAAATGCCAACTGGCCTTGCCTGAGAAGCCCCGGTCTAGAAACACAAAGGCCGGGAGGAGATGTGACCAGCATAGACCCTGAAAGAGGACACGAGCAGCAGAAGTGTGCTCGCCAGGCCTCAGCTCACAAGACCAGCAGAGGCTGAAGCTCGATGCTTCCAGAAGACATTTAGATCCGTGCACGCATGACCAAGGCAGAAGGGAGCCCAGGCGACTTGGGGGCTCCCTCCCTAGCCCAGGACCCCAAAGAAGGAGGGTAAAAAAGCAGTGCCCTCCCGGAACTGTCAAGGGGGCCCCTCTGCAGGTGCGAGGACCCCAGTGTGGACAAAAGCGGCCTCTCCCTGCCTCTTGCCACATCCTCTGGAGGAGAAAAACAAAGAGTGAGAGAAACATTCTGCCTTGCAGCCAACACAAGACCGAGGCTCTTTGCTCAGCATGAACAAAGGTCCCCACCAGACGGTCAGTGCCATGGAAACCGGGCCGCGCTGGAGGAATGCAGGCAGCCGGCGGCCTGGCCGGCTGGGCGGCCATGTGGGGCCTTCCCCTACCACTCAAGTCAGCCTGCCCCCACTCTGACTGTCCCTGGCACGCATCAGGGGCTACCAGCCCAGGGGAAAGTGGCACCATTCACTTTTCTAAGTAGCAGTGGGGGACTAGCCCCTTCAGAAAGGGAAGAGTGGAGAACCTTCATCTCTTCCTCTTAGGCATAGACTCTTCCTAATGTGCTCCATCCCACAAGAGGACGCACACAGGAAGGTAGAGCAGGAAGGCAGAGCTTGCAAAGCAAAGAACGCAGATTCCCCAGGCCCTGGCCTCCTGGGGCTGGACGTTCTGGCCTAGTGGAGTGAGCCTGCTGTGTATCCATCTGCAGAAAGAGGCAGCTGGGCATGGCGGTCAGGGGCAGGCTCAGGACCCTGGCCCGGGTCTGAGTCCCTGCCCTGCCGCTCATGGGCTGTAAGACCCTGGGCCGTTATGCAATTGTGGAGTCCTAGTCTCCCCGTCTGTGGAATGTGCAAGGTCACAGTGCAACTTAGAAGTCGTGGAAAGTACCCACCCCACGCCAGGTGCTGGACACCAGCTGGCATCCAGCCTGCACCTGGAGGACATTTGACACGCTTCTCGAGTGCACTCATCTGCGTGCTGACTTGTTCATAACCAGCAGACACAGGCTCAGCTGGAAATATGCGACTTCTTTCCTAGCATACCACAGGCTCCTTTCTGAAGCCCAAGGGAGTGAAACTCCAGCAAGCCCCAGGCTGCACTCCCTGGCCCAGCAAGATCAGAGTTCAGATACCACCTTGTAGGCCCTAGACCAAGGACCTCCTGGCGGCCTCTGTGCCATGGCTTCACTGGCCTCGGCCCTGTGCACGCAGCAATCTCTGTCCCCTTACCAGTTGACACCACCTGGTCCACAGGCCCAGGAGCAGTCCAGCAGTCAGAGGAAAGGACACAGCCTCCCCATCAGACACACAACGACATGTGTCAGGGAAGCCAAATGCCCCTGATGTGCTGCCTGGCAACTGGACAGAGCCAGGTCTCTGGGCCGCCGAGAAGGCCGGAGGGAAAGGGTCTGCGCTGGGGCCCCACGCAGCCGGCACAGAGCACTGATTAGCATTCCGCCCAACTCCCCTGCCACCGCGGGAGAGAAGCCCTCACCCCGGCAGCTGCCACTCAGAAGGCAGGCAAAGCTGGAAGGTCCCCACCCGCCCCGGCTCATTTCAGACTCAGAAACAGGGACAACAGGCTCTGCAGTTTGTCCTTGTCACCGACACTCCGGGCCCAGGCTTGGGGGTGTCCTGCCATTGGAACCCGGCTGGCCAGATCCGAGACGTCACACCTCTCACAGGCTGGAGGGGCACCCAGACAAGGGGCCCTGGGCAGCTTTGGATCAAGCTGCTTTGCAGCAGCAAGGGGTTAAGGAGCAGCCACGGTGGCCCCAATCACAGCCGCAGTCCTGGAAATCAAAACTAAAGCTCTCAAGTCGGGGCAAAGCAAACCACGGCTCCAAAGGAATGTGTGTGTGCTCGTGTGTGTGCGTGCACATGTCTGTGTGTGTGCATGCACATATTAGATGAAGCCCAGGGACGAGGATTGAGAAGGGCCAAGAAAACCTCACAGATATTCTTTATAAAAATCTAGGCTGGGTGCAGTGGCTCCAGCCTGTCATCCCAGCACTTTGGGAGGCCAAGGCGGGAGGATTGCTTGAGCCTAAGAGTTCAAGGCCAGCCTGGGCAACATAGTGAGACCTCTTCTCTACAAAAAATAAAAAGATTAGCCAGGTGGCACGTGCCTGTAGTCCCAGCTACTCAGGAAGCTGAGGTGGGAGGATCTCCTGAGCCCAGAAGGTCGAGGCTGTGGTGAGCCATGATGTTGCCACTCTGGGCGACAGAGGAAGACCCCAATTCAGAAAAAAAAAAAGAAAAACAAAACAAAAACAAACAAAAGCACAGATGCAGCTCATCAACAGCCCACAGCAGTTGGAAGAGACTGCTGGTGGAAGGCACACAAATCAGAGGCAGAACCCAGACCATAATCTCCTCATTCTTTTCCTTGAGTCCCACATGGGGAAACCTGAAGGAATGCCCAAAAGCCTGCAGGCAACCACCCAGCGTCCTCATCAGCCGTTTGCCTCTGGCAAGTCACTTCACCTTTCTGTATCTGTTTCCTCCCCTACGGAGCCAGGCTAGCAGTTCTCCAACTGTGTTCCCTGGGGTTCCGGGACTCTGAGACTTCTTCAGGAAAGGGAAGGCCCCCACCGCAAGGCCAGCACAGCCCACCACCCACCCACCCAGCTTCAGCCAGGCTGCCCCTGGCTCTCAGTTTCTTTGTGGGGTGCGCAAGTTCAACTTGAAGGGGATTCTATGGCTCCAAGGACACCCGAGAGGCCCTGGATGGGAGACGTTCCCGGATTCCTTCCAGAGCCGGCCCCCACGGCCCACATGGGCTCCTCACTGGCTCTGGCTTGGGAAAGTCAGGTGGGGCCCAGTTGAGCCCCCACCCCCTCTGCGGCCAGGCATTCGGCGCTCACCTGTGATCCTGCCCACCGTTCCTCTCACGAAGTTGCCCGCGTAGCCAGCCACGTGCGCACCCAAACTGTAGCCGATCAAGTGCACGTTCCCCAGAGAAAACGCCTCCTTTCCCTGCAGGAAGTCACCAGAGCCTGTGGGCTGGAAGGTGGCCCAGGGTCCCCAGACGCACCGACCTCCCACCACTCAGTCTCGGTGAAGGAGGACACGGGCGTCGCCGGCGCTGTGGCAATGACGCTGGTTACAGCCGGGGAGGGGAGGCCAAAGTGACTTGGTGGCACTGAGCGCCGGGGTGGGCAGCCATCCTACTGCGTCTGCCCTTTCGGCACCCTGGAGGTGGGGCGGCAGGGAGGAGGTGACAGCCACCGTGCCCGCACAGTCTGCAGCAAAACTTCCTGCCAGCCTCCAAGGCCCTGATCTCCACCCCGGCCTCTTCCCCCGACCCCGCAAGCCCACCTGGGCCCTCAGAGCTGAAGCATCATCGACACTTATAGACATGCTAAGAAACAACCTAGAGACAGAGGCAGAAGGCCTGCTGGGAGAATCCTGACCAGAATTCCACCAGAATCCACCCAACTCCTGGGTATAAGGAAGGCCAGGCTGCAACTGTGGGGAGGAGGGAAGGGGCGGAATGGGG